AGTTGTCGCGCCAATACCCAGCGAAGAAGACGAAGAAGAACACAAATCCTGAGTCATCTTTCTGTAAACTCGTCTTCCGTGTTTCTTTGAAAATCACGTATTTACCCGGTGACCTCAACCCATGCCTTGCTCTGATTGGCTGTAGCTCATGACATCACGTGAGGTTGAGTCGTGAGACAGCTCTGGATACCTAGCATGGTAGATATTTTTTCTGGCTCGGCGAGGCGTCTGCGAGCGTCTTGTTGGCTCTTTCATACTAACAGATTGGCGAGCGTTCATCACCCACTAATCTCCCGGGGTTTGCACGCGATAACACCCTGACCTGTCGGCGAGCTCAACGATTGCAAATCGGCTTAAATCAGGCTTAAAATCATGTAGTGTGAACTAGGCCTTAAGATGAAACTTATTTGAAATGGTAGCATAATTTTGTATATATTTATTTTTTTCAGGACGGCGTTTACGAGGAAAGGCTTTCTATAATGTAAACGGAAAGGTGTACTGTGAAGAGGACTTCCTGGTGAGTATGAGATTTGCATTCACTAGTAAAAAAATTCTGGTCAATACGTGTTTTTTTTTTTTTTTTACACTATTTTAAGGTGACGTATTTACCCCTTTCTACATGTACTTACTATAGTGATAACAGTACATTATGCATAATTACAAATAACTAACCCTAAACCAAACCCTAACTCATAGTAAGTACATTGTAGTTAATAATATTACTCAGTATTTAAGTACTGTAACTACGTCACCTTAAAATAAAGGGTAACCAATATGTTTTGGAAGTCTCTTTTTCTCTAAAGGGATACTCCACTTTTTTTGGAAATAGGCTCATTTTACAACTCCCCCAGAGTTAAACTGTTGAGTTTTACCGTTTTTGAATCCATTCAGGCCGATCTCCGGTTCTGGCGGTACCACTTTTAGCATAGCTTAGCACATCATTGGAGTGGACAAGACCATTAGCATTTCTAAAAAAAAAAAAAGACCAAAGAGTTTCGATATTTTTCCTATTTAAAACTTGACTCTTCTGTAGTTACATCGTGCACTAAGACCGACGGAAAATGTAAAGTTGCGATTTTCTAGCTGATATGGCTAGGAACTATACTCTCATTCCTGCGTAATAATCAAGAAACTTCACTGCCGTACCATGAGTGCAGCAGGCGTAATGATATGACGCAGCGCCTGAAAATAGGCCACCTTCCGTCAACACAACGGAACTATTTTCAGGCGCAGGCTATTTTAATGGTCTTGTCCACTCCAATGATGTGCTAAGCTATGCTAAAAGTGGTACCGCCAGAACCGGAGATCGGCTGAATGGATTCAAAAACCGGTAAAACTCAACAGTTTAACTCTGGGGGAGTTTGTAAAATGAGCCTATTTCCAAAAAAAGTGGAGTATCCCTTTAAGGCTAATATTTATTTAATCAAAAGAAACTGTTTTCTTTTTAAAATGTAATTTATTCCTGTGATCAAAGCTGAATTTTCAGCATCATTACTCCAGTCTTCAGTGTCACATGATCCTTCACAAATCACTCTAATATGATGATTTGCTGCTCAATAAACATTTATGATTATTATCAGTGTCGAAAACAGTTGTGCTGCAATTTGTATGGAAACTTTGATGAATAGAAAGATCAAAGGAACAGCTTTAATTTGAAATATAAATACAATATATTTATTATATTGTTGTTGTTTTTTAATCTTTACTTCACTTTTGATTAATCAATGCTTCCTTGCTAAATAAAATATATAAGTATGGAATGTTGTTTCCTGATGTATTTTTTAAATATATATTTTCAAGAACATGGATATAATTTAATGCAGTGATCACCCCCCCCCCCCCCATCAACTTTTTGTGCCTAATTTTTGCCATTACTATAGAAATCATAAATGTTTGACGCAAGCTTTTAATCTCATAATTACAGTAATTCTGACACAATGTGACGCATTAATCCATTAAAAGCAGGCAGGCAGTATCTGTCCCTGTCACAGATTGTTCTGCTATTGTGATACTCCGTTCTAATGTGCTTCTGTAGAACCAGTTCTCATTTGAAGTCATGCTGTAGGGTTAGGGTTACACCAG